ACGATAAAGAATTTTATAAATAAAGAGTTGATCTTGTTCAGTCAAGCCGATAATGAACGTTCGATTCCAAATGTTCTCGACGGATTAAAACCTGGCCAAAGAAAAGTTTTGTACACATGCTTTAAGAAAAAATACAAGAACGAAATTAAAGTTTCTTCGTTAGCCGGGGCTGTTTTAGAACAAGCGGCATATCACCATGGTGATGCAAGTCTTCAAGGTACAATCATCGCAATGGCTCACGATTTTGTCGGTTCAAATAACATCAACATCCTTCATGGCGAAGGTCAATTTGGTACAAGGGCTCAAGGAGGAAAAGATGCAGCTAGTGCTCGTTATATCAGCGTTTCCATGCCCGCATTGACTCGAAAAATCTTTCATCCTCATGATGACTCATTACTATCATATTGTAATGATGACGGTCAGCTGGTAGAACCAGAATGGTATTTGCCAATTCTGCCAATGATCCTTGTTAATGGATCCGAGGGTATCGGAACCGGTGAGTTTATTTAAAAGCCAGCATATTAAGTATTTCGCAAGACGTATAATAATAATCTTGATTTATCTTATAATTATTAGGTTGGAGTTCATTTATTCCAAATTACAATCCTCGCGATATCGTTAACAATTTAAAACGATTAATTAAAAATGAAAAGCCAATTCCAATGCATCCCTGGTATCGTGGATTCCAGGTAACGTTATTAATAATCATTTAACAGAATCCCCTAACGACTTTTGAATTCTCCAAATATTAAATTATATTTCACATAATTTATAGGGTGACATTGAGCAATTAAGCAATGATAGATACAAGATCAATGGCAATATCCACCAAGTTAACAATGTGTCCGTACGAATTACTGAATTACCAATTCGTGTATGGACTCAAAACTACAAAGAATCGCTTGAGCTGTGGATATCCGGAACAGATAAAGTGCCAAGCTGGATCCTCGTACGTAAACACTTATGTCGCTAATATGCCTTAGTAATTTTTTTAATATTCTATTAAATTATTTTTTATAAATACTAGGAGTACAAAGAGGACCATACAACGACCACCGTAGATTTTACGATAAAACTATCGCAAACAAGTCTAAGAGATTCTTTAGAAGAAGGACTTGAGAAACGATTCAAGATGAGCACGACCATCGGAACGTCGAACATGGTGTGTTTCGATGGCAAGGGTCGTATTCGAAAATATAATTCTCCCGAAGAAATTCTTCAGGAATTTTACACATACAGGCTCGAATATTATGAGAAGAGGAAGGTTCGTATTTATATTAATATCATCATCATCTTCTTAGTATTAATTTAATTAGTGGTGTATGATTCTAAATTTATAATTCTTATAAACTTTTTAGGCTCACATGATAAATATACTAGAAGCCGAAGTTATCATGAACAAGAATAAAGCCAGATTTATTAAAATGAGGGCTGATAATAGTCTTAAATTTGAAGGCCTTTCGCGTATTGAGGCTATTGAATTATTAGAGTCCAATG